ACACACACACACACACACACACACACACACACACACACACATATATACGCAGCGCGCGCGCGCACACACAAAGAGATAGATAGAGAAGGAGTTAGTGTGGAGAGAGAAAGAAAGAGAGGTAGAGAGAAACGGAGAGTAGAAATACATCTTTGGATGGTGTTTGTAATCGGTAAACAAAAAAATCGGTATCACTAAAAAGTGCGCAACTTTGAATGTTTTTGTTTGGGTTTGTTTTTTGTTTTTTTCGAAAGTGCGCAGCTCCGATAGCTTCCCGATGTACGTGCTCGCACAAAAGCACATTTTTTTGGCCTGAAACAATATTCTAAACAACCATGTATTTCGCAATAACACATTTCTACTCAAGTTTCACGATCATGTAGTATTATGTTTTACGCTTTTGTATGAACGCGTTTACGCTCAAGTAGTGGCGGCCCACAATATGGTATAGATTTTATAAATGACCATAAATTATCACCGACCCCGTGAGCAGCAGTTTCGTGGGCTCACGTCCACCTGTGTATACGTCATGAAAAACATTACTGGTAAACATCCTTTATTTTATGGTATGTGCCCTTTTTTTAAATACTACATTTACGTGTATTGTTCGACTTAGCTGTTACTCATTCATATATGTGTACACAGTTTCCATCGACAATTCTGGGAAAACGTGACTCACGCCTGCCTAGTAAGGTCATTCACCCTTTCCATGTATCGACATGGGATAAACATCGTTATTTTCGCCCTCACATGCACGCTCTTTTGTCCGTCTACATACATACATGCATACATGTATACTGGCGTGAACTAGAATGCGTTCACACACGTTTTCCCAAACACACGTAACACCGCACTCTTTCCCACACAGTAGACATCTTTACGTGACATGGTACGTTCATCTCTGTCTGTCGGTCTGTCTCTGTCTGTTTGTCTGCCTGTCGGTCTGTCTGTCTATCTATCTATCAGAAGTGGTCTAAATAACAAGGAATAGTTTCCCAAGTGAATTGTTCAGTGTGTCAGTGTGTCTGTGGTGGGTGTGGATGTGCGCAGAGAAAGAGTCCGTTTATAGCACTTCTTAGTGGCGACACCAGTCACCCTCACACCTCACACCGTGCTCCTGTCTCATCGATTGGATCCCGGGACCCTCTTGTGTGGGGCTCAGTGTGGGTTATCATAACTCATCAGAGCGGGAGACACCGCGCATAATTTGTTGTTCATTTCGATGTTAGTTGGTTATCCTCCACTCACCCACCCACCCTCACTACTCTTGTCCTTCGCAGCTTACCCACCTTCACCCGTGGCGCGTGCCATGCTGTGTCAGACCAACCTGCCTAAATGTAGAGATTGATGGGATGTTTGTAAATGCGAGAGGTTCCTGCATGTATTCTGTTCATATTAGTTCTTTGATTCATGTTGAGACCTGCTCTTACTTAAAGTGTATAGTGTATACCGGCGTGGGTGCTGTAGCGATTGAGCTCCCCGCCTTTGTTTGCAGATGTGGGTTCGTTTCACGATAACGAAAGTTTTGATCGAATATCTCCGTCCGTCTGTTAGGATGTTGTTTCCTTCTCAGCCTGGGTTGGTCATAACAGAGTCGAGCCCCCCCCCCCCCCCCCCCCCCCC